CACAGAGAAGTGTGGTCTTCACTCCTCATCAAGGGCACTACCGTAGGCAACAGACAGAGACCACTACACAAAACCACAACCAACCAAAGTGCAGAGTTGTGGCGCCCAGTCCCAATGGATACATCTACAAAACTCTCACACCTAAGGTTCATTGAGGAAGTGTGGACAGAAAGATTGTATGAGTCAGAGGATCAGAGAGTTTGCTGTGAGATTTTTGTCTCCTAATAATGTTAGAAGTTACACCAATAAATTCTCATCAACATGAATGACCATAAGTGCGATGACACCAATGGACATGCCAAAATAGACAAGGGAAAGCCCATGGAACCTCAACCCTACACGAAGAACTATAGGCAACTGTAAAGACTGGGAGAAGAGGAGATGGCTTTTCCCAGGGAAGAGCACACAAACTAGTTATCCAGGGCCAAATGGCAACCCTGAAAACATACATAGGAGTCACATTATACAGATTGAAAAGGTTATATTTAGGAACACACTCACACATACACATAGACAACACACATACACACACCCATGCACACATGCAATAACAGTTTCTTTTAAAAAGCCATGAATTTGAAGGAGAGAAGGGAGAGGATTTGGAGGGAGGAAATAGCAAGGGAAAACATAATTATAATCTCAAAAGTGCAACTAGAATGTAAAAAGAAATAGAATGATGTGGAGCAAAGTAACTGGCTATGATGGTGGGGTGTGTGTCTAGATGGTTCTTAGAGAAGGTTTGTATGAGCAGGCGACTGTTATCTGGGGTCTAGCAGATGAGATAGAGCAGTACAGACGCGTTATCTGGGTTAGAGCAGCTGGAACCAATTTGATGAGGGTCTATCACTCTAGTGAAGTTGTATCAGTGGTTAGGACCCTGTTAGTGGACAGCCTTGCAAGCAGCAACAATGAAATCAGGTTATTTGCTTGTGAGCAGAGAGACTTCCAATGGAAAGTGTGGGGATGATGGGTTTTGTATATCACCAGTCGTGGTGGCTTGGGTCTGTGAGGCTGCAGCTGAGGAGGAGAGGGAGCAGGAAGGAATCAGGATACCTGGTCTTTCCCCATCGGACACTTGGAGGCTGGACTGGCTCATCTCTCAGGACTTTCCAGCTCTGGGATGTGGTGCATCTTACTCTATCACAAGTGTTGGGACACCTAAATGAGGAAGTGCCAGGGAAGACCTGTTTCACAGAGCAACGGCTTCATCCCTATCTCGTGGGCCGCTTGCCCCTGGGATTGTGTTGACCCTTTTATCACCTTTATCTGCCCCACAAGGATGTTGGCCAAGCCCAGCCAGCAGGCAGTTAGTCATATTCAGACTTTATCTTTTTTATGAGGCTAGGGAGTCCAACTGAGCAGAGCCGCCTGAGTCTATAAAAGGCTACGTGTGTCTTTTATGATCTGAAAGGACTCATCCTCTGTCTATTAGCTGTTCTTCTGTCCTGGTGTTCTATTCTAGCAGGTTCTCGGGCGTATTTCTTGGGACCCTTGCCTATGCCCCTCCCTCCACCAAGTGAACCAACTGACAGGGAGATGGTCCCGAAGTTGTTGGGCAGCCATGCCACAGGATATATTGCTACACGTTTAGTAATGTAGGGCCACACAGTTCGGTAGATCAGAGATATGCATATGGCATGACTGGGGTTTCTCTTTAGGGGCTCTTAAGGCTGAAATCAAAATGTTGCTTGACCGCATTTCTGAGCTAATGAGGTTGTAGAAGAATTCTGTTTCTTGTGGGTATGGCACTGAGGTTCCTGATTTCTCACTGGCTGCAAGAAGGGCTTCTGTTAGTTTTCAAGACTGCCCATATTCCTTGTCATGGTGCACTTCACTCTAAAAGCCAACAATAGGTCCCTTGGGTTGAATATCCTAACAAGAGACCTGTGACTTCAGGAAGAGCCAAGTTGCTTTAAAGGGTTCATTTGCTTAGACAAATTCACCCCATATCGCCCTTCTCTGTCTTTCTGTTCCCCCTACCTACCTCCCTTCCTCTTTCCTCCTGTTTTCCTTTCTCCTCCCATCTGGTTTTTCTCCTCTCTTCTATGCCCCTTTCCTCCTCTTCCCTCCCTTCCTCCCTCCCTCCCTTCCTCCCTCCCACCCACCCTCCCTCCCTCCCTCCCTCCTACCCTCCCTCTCTCCCTCCCTCCCTCCCTCCCTCTCTTCCTGTCTTCCTTACTTCCTTTCTTCCCATCCTTCCATCCATGCTGGGGATTGAACCCAGGGCCTCATGAATGCTGGGCACCACTGAGCCACAATCCCATCACTATCCCCATCTTAAAATTAGTTCTACTGTAGAATATATAACATGACCACAGGAAAAAGGTCCATATCAATAGTCCCAAGGATTTTGTACAGTATACACACTGGGAGGTGGGAAATGGTGAAGACTTTAGAGAGCATTGTAGGATTCTTTCCATCACAGGAGCCTGGAGAGTCATTTCTGGTTCTTAAGGAACAAACCGTTCAGTAAAGTTGGCTGTTTTTTAGACTTTCTATAGGTCATAAAAGAACCTATCAAACATCACACACGACCTATCTATGACTGTAGGCTTCATGACTCCTGGGGCATTATTCAGTGTCCAGGTTAAGACGATATGTTCAGGTGCTGGGAATGCAGGGGCATGCTGGTGATGCTGATGAACAGACAATGTGAGTGATATGTTTGTATGTGTGTATGTGTACAAGTGTGCATGTGTGAATATGTAGATTAAGGGATAATTATTAGCTCACTTCCCTTTTTAAGGATTAGGGATGGGAAGGTGACTCAGAGGGTAGGCTGCTTGTAGTATAACTAGGGGATCTACCTCTGGGTTGAGTTTGGTATTTTGAGCACGCACACATGTGCACACATATAAACACATGTGCATGCATATGTTGCACATAAAGATTAAATAAACCAATATTTCCACACACAGTATTGAAATACGCAAAGTTTATAATTATGAAGGCAGTAGATTGGCCAACCAAGGGGTCCAATTCTGATAACAAGTAGATGGTTGTATGAGAATAATTCCTGTTCATTGAGTTCCTCAGCTCAGTGATTTCCAGGCCCATCTTCATCACCATAGTCTGGACACATTAAATGCTCTAGAAAAACTAATTAATAAGAATTTCTGAGAGAAGGACTTATGTGTTTTAAAAACATCTTTAATACAGACTTTCTTCAAGTTACAGATTTTTGCACAGATAGACTGTAATCCACAGAGACGTGTAGAGTAATAAAAGAAGGAATAACTGCCTCCCTTCTCACTCGTGGATGCCACCAAGGTCCAGACTGGTTGAATTCTTTACACATCTAACTATGGTCTCGATGAAGACTCACAGGAAGGAGCTGCCCAGGTTTCTTCTTGGAAAGCTGTGTTCTCACACTGAGTATTTTCTTCTTGCTGGTGGGTGTGGAGGCAGCACAGGCCTACGGTCTCAGCACTAGAGAAGTTGAGAAAGGAGGATTGGCATAGGTTTGAGGCCAGCCTGAGCTACATAGTGAGTATCAGGGCAGCCAGGCCAGCAAGACCCTGTGTCAAAAACAAAAAGAAAAACCAGAGAGACAAACAGAGGCAACAAACAGAGAAACACAAGCAAAGCCCTCAGATGTTTTCCTGTCTGTCTTGCTTTCTTCCCTTCCTGGTGTGGTCCGCACACAGCTCCTTGGGCTCAGAGGCACAGGGGTAGCTACAGGAGATTCTCTAAAACAGATGTGACACATTTTAGTCGCCGTCCCAGGGGTGGGTAGCCCAGTTGTTCAGATGGTACAATCAACCAATAAGCAGCTTTGTGAAAGTGCCTACATTACAGGCACTTTCCTGTCTAACACAACGGTCTACAGAGAGGGATGCTGGTCAAAAGTGAGCCTTTAACTCTAACAGATAATCAATAGGCTCCCCCAATGCCTCAGGTAAAGTGGGGAAGACTTGAATTGGGGGGAGAGTCAGAACTCTTAGCTCAGGCCAAGAACTCAAGGCTTCCCTCCCCCAAGTGTGGGGAAGTAGACTCCTCAAAGGAGTGAAGAAAGGGCTCTTATCAGCTCATCCTCTCCCTCTGATTGAGACAAACCCTCCTTTGGCCAGGTACTTCCTCCAAGGTGCCTATAAATGTGGCTGTGAGATGGGCTGAGGGGGGACCCAGCTTTGGAAACCTGACACGACCAAGGAAGACCTGTAAGTGTTCTCCCTACTGGGGATGTCCAGCTTCTGGGGAGGACCCTGAGGTACGCAGAGGGCTGTGGAAGGCTGGCAGGCTTTCATGGGGCTTTCAGCTTCTGCTGGTGCCGTAAGCATCACTTCTGAGCAACAGGCAAACTCTCCTCATCAGGATGAGGATAGGGGGAAAGCGTAACTGGCTTGGGGGAAGGAACCCACGATTTAAGCGCTGTGCATTCCTAGCAAGCTCGACAGTTGTTGCTTTTCCATTCACTCATATTGCAGACGCTGCCAAGCTCATTAATGTAAACAAAGGAATCATCAATCAATCAATCAATCACTGATCTTGCTTGCAGGCTTACAGGAAAGCAAGGCTGAGCTGCTTCTTATGGTCTGCTTCATTTTGCCCAGAAAGGACTTCTTGGGGCTGGGGCTGGGGCTCAGGTCGTTGAGTGATTGCTCAGCAACGCAGCAAACGTTGGGATCAACCCCCAACAAAACATAAACCAGGTGTGATCGTGCAAGCCTGTAATCTCAGCACTTGGGCAGCAGAGGCAGAATAGCCAGGAACTCTATGCCCTCCTCAGCTACATCCTGAGTTCCAGGCTGCCTGGGCTACATGAAACCTTGTCATAAGCAAAGCAAAACAAATGAGTTCCTTGGAACAGCATGGACTGGACTCAGCCTTAGCTCTTCCCGGTCATTCTGAGTTCTTGCCTTCTTTTTCCACACTTCCCCTCTCATGGGTCCAAAATGGTCTGGCAGTGCAGTGCGTGTGTGTGTGTGTGTGTGTGTGTGTGTGTGTGTGCGTGCGTGTGTGTGAGACATCTGTGTTCTCTATTTCAGGACAAAGCCAAAATGAAATTCGCTCTACTTCTGGCTCTTCTAGTTGGGGGCGCGTCTGCTCTTCATCTGAGTGAATCATCAGGTTCTTCAGGTTTGCTCTTCCTCTTTTGTTCCTGGTGTAAAGATGATGGGAATCACATGATCACTAATCATCCCCAATTTCAGAACCCCTGTACACTAGGGGTGCAGGGACTCTGCAGGACTCCCGAGAGCATCTGTTATGTTTGTAGCCTTGATTCTGCTGTGGTATTTCCAATTTTGTCCTTTTTACATAATTCTAATGATGTCTGCAGTAACAATGGCTTCTTTTTATTTTGAAATTGTATACCAATTTCACACACAAAGAAATAAAGTGAGTTGTTGCTGTATCCGGGACCCAGACCCAAAAAGAATGGACTCTAAGCTACTGTGGTTAGCCTTCTTGACCTCGTGGTGTGAAATGGGTTGTCTCCTCATGGAGATGTGGCTGTGGGTTCCTTTCTTTACAGGCAGGGTTTTGCACACTGGTGTTTGGAGTGGAGTAAGAGATACCCATAGTTCTAGGGAGAATAGGGGAAGGTGCCAAGGAAGGACACTTGAATTTTCTACTTGCCAGAGTCTGAAACTTCTGACTTCAAAAGCCCTTTGGGAGATGACAACTTGCCTAGGGATGTGGAGATCTCAAGACCGGAAGCAGAAGAGTGTCCACCTGGAGAGGAGCTAATATCACTGGAGGAAGAGGAAGGTTCTGGAAGTGACGACACCCCTGGGGTTGAGGGAGCTGTCTCAGGCCAGGATATGGCTGATGAGGATTTTCAGTGCCCCAAGGAAGAGGACACAATCAGTCTGAAGGGCAACCCTGGATGTAAGACTTGTCGGTTCCTCCTGGTGAGGCAGTTTCGAAAGTTTGACAGTGCTCAGGTAAGTGGCTTATGACTGAGGCTGAGAGCAGGGACAGACAGGAGACATGCCTCCATTTCCCACAGCAGTCCACACCAGCAGAGTGTGGGGTGGGTGGGGGCGTGTGGAAGCATGTGGGGGGAGGGGTGTGTGGAAGCATGTGGGGGGAGGGGTGTGTGGAAGCATGTGGGGGGAGGGGTGTGTGGAAGCATGTGGGGGGAGGGGCATGTGGCAGCATGTGGTGTACTTTGCTTGCTTGTTTTCTAATGGTTATGGAGGGAGGGGAAATAGAATAGGAGGGAGGAAGGGAATGGATTTTGGAGACTCAGAGACCATGGCTGTGACCATGGGAACTGCTGTCAAAGGGGTGAGGGACCCTCCCTTCTTCCTCTTTTGTTTTGTTCTGCAGTCAGTTTGCCGGAGATGCTACCGGGGCAACCTTGCCTCCATCCACAGCTTCAGAATCAACTTCCAAATCCAGGCCTCTCTCAGGGCACTCAACCAGGGTCAAGTCTGGATTGGAGGCAGGATCAGAGGCTTGGTAAGAGGAGTACCAGAATTAAATGGGAGCATCTCTTCACCCCATCCCGTATCAACCTTTCTACAGCTTTGTCTGTATTCCCCCTTTACTGTCCCCCAAAGAGTTGGGGATAGACACTCACACAAGACACTGAGGTGCCACCAAGTCTTTAGAGTCAGGTTTGAGTCCAAGTTCCTCCCAGCCTCTCTATCTTTGTGATCAGGGTGCTGTTTCCTGACCTCTAGGTTGCACCTGGTTTCCCTGGTGCCATTTCTTGTTCATGATGTAAGGATGATCATGTCATAGAGAGGCAGAGAATGGTGACGATCCCTATGGGCCAATACTTCAGCTAGCTAGTTATCGTTATGGCCCTGTGGTCAAGGACCTTAGGGATAGTGCTGACTCTGTCCCTCCCTCCCTCCCTCCTTCCCTTCCTCCCTCTCTCCCTCCCTCCCTCCCTCCTTCCCTCCTTCCCTCCCTTTCTCCCTCACTCTGTATCCCTTGGCCTCCTCCCTTCTCTAGGGTCCCTGCAAACGCCTTCAGTGGGTTGATGGAAGCTCTTGGAACTTTGCATATTGGGCTTCTGGCCAGCCCCGCTGTGGTATTGGCAGATGCGTGACCATGTGTACTCGAGGTGAGGTTGGTTGGCTATGGGAAGGGAAGGACTCAAGAAGAGTGCCAGGAAGTGAGCCTGGTCACTCAGGGAGAGGCTTTCTAGGTGAGGTGTAGGGCTGGTGGGAACCACGAGCTTCCTGGTGTCATGTGAGGGTAGACACAGGACTGAAGTTCTCCCATTCTCCCTTCACAGGAGGCCACTGGCGTCGATCTTTGTGTATCAAGAGACGTCCCTTCATCTGTTCGTATTGAGCTGGTCCCAGCCAGGAGTTCAAATCCATACTCTTCTTGACAACCTCCTCTCTTTTCCTGCCAGATGTCCCCTTCTTTCTCCTACCCACAATAAAATGGCTTTACTGAACCAGACTCCCTCTCTCTTGTGATCGTTGGTAGCTGGGTCTCATTTTGAGCTTTCTGTTTTATCTCATCCTGCCTGTCAAATAGGATGGTGCAGTGGGGGTGCATGAAGCATTCTGATAGTAGGGAAATGTGTGCAGGTGGCTCTAAAGCGCCAGTGGAAGACCCAATGACATAGCATCTGTGTATTGGGTACTGCCAGGACCCCGCCAACAGCTTCCAGACATGTGACGGTTTTGAGTGAACTCTCACCCACACCGGCTCTTCTTTCCTATTGTATTAGTGGCTTTCCCTGTCGCTGTAACAAAATATCTGAGTCTGGGAGACAGTTTACTTGAGTTCATAGGTCAAGGGTACTGTCTACTATGGCAGGGAAGTCCTGGTAGCCAGGCTCCAGGCGGATGGTTACATTGTATCCATAGTTAGGAAGTAGTGGGACAAATGCTCAGATGCAGCTAGCCTCTTCCAAATGCAACCCAGGATCCAAACCCAGGAAATGGTGGGTCTTTACATCTCAATAATTGACCCAATCAAGATACTCCCTCCCAGACTTGTTCAGAGGCTGGTCTCCTAGGTAACCAGAGAGATGGTTGACACTCAATAGTCACCATCGGGCCTATTAAGCGGAACAAACACATAGCATGTACTAGGCTCCATTTCTGTTACCCATTAAGGTGACTGGCATTACAGCAGGTATTTTATTGGCTGCGTGCCTCTCCCCAGATGAATCCTCTCTTCCTCTAGCAAGGCTTCTGCACTTCCCCAAGTTAACTCTAGGATGTGGACTCAAATCCTTGTCTCAGGCTCCGTTTTGGAGAAAACCCTGTATTAAACTCTTTATTATGAGTAAAACTTTCAATAAGGTCTGGGAATCTAAGACACAGTGTGTGTGTGTGTGTGTGTGTGTGTGTGTGTGTGTGTGAGAGAGAGAGAGAGAGAGAGAGAGAGAGAGAGAGAGAGAGAACACATGAGCACGTGCTGGTTGTAACCAATGATTGGGCCCTCACCTGCTGTGGCAAACGCCTTGCATTGATCACACTACGGCAGCAGTATCATTATCTCTGCCATGCAGAAACAGGTTTAGAGAAGTTATACATGGATGAAAGACTTGCTCAAGACAGAACAGCTGGCTGTTTCCAAGGCAGAGATTTGACTTTCTCAGCTCCAAAGCCTGCTGCTTCTGTATCTATTGTTTCCATGCCTGTAAGTCTTGAATGACCGCCTTCACTCTTGACTTCACCTTGGGGCATAGAACTCAGCCCATCTGGAGGCGAAGAAGCTCGGTTAAAGACGGGGAAGGACAGCTTTGATATTACCAGGGAGCTAAGCAGGATGCAAACGGAGATGTGTGAGCTTCTGAATGACTCAGAGAAGGAGGACTGTTTGCTCAATGTTAGTTACTCTGTAAGCTGAAAAGGAGACAGAGCCACATTTTTGTTCATGCAACCACTGTGTCGTCTGCTGTTGGTTTTATCTATGGTCAGCTTCAGAAAGTCCGTGTGTTTGGCTCTGTGGTGGGTGCTGGGAGGATATAGCCACACAAGTCCTCAGGGATGACATCTTCTGCTGTCACTATTCTTGTTTGACTCTTAATAATAAAGATTAGGAGGGGCTGGGACCATCAGTCTGTGATAGAGCAGCTGACTAGCACACATGAAGCCCTGTGCAGGCTTCCAGCTCTGACACACATGAATGGATAAAAAGCTGCGGGAATAAGACACGGTTCTCCCCACCACCATCGCTAAGCATTGCTATACTCTGGGTACCAGACTGAGAGTCAGGTAGACTTTTTGGTCATGCTTCTCAGAGACAGCTCTCTTAGTGGAGTTTGTGGCACCTGCTCCATCAAAGTCTCTTAAAAAGCAGGCGGAGGCTCCAAGGTGGTTTACTATGTTCTCTACATAGCTTTGGACGTGCTTGTACAGGTGCAATGACTATAGTTTTCTTGCCCAGCTCACTCACAAATACTCCAGGTGTCCTCATCAGTGAGTAAGGCTCAGGAGGCTGAGCTCCTAAACACTGCTCTGACCTGGGGATTTCATTCCTTCTCACACTGATGATGAGAATCATCCTTTTGGTAAAATGGAGTTGGGCTGAATTTTAGTACAAGATGAATATTTAGAAATCCACATGAAAAACGGATTTATTATTATTACATAAAACTGTTTTTTAAAGTGAAGTGAGTCTGGGAATGAGCATGGTTGGCCTGGTGCTTGCCCGGCATGCATGAAGCCCTGGGTTCTGCCCCTGGCATCACATAAAGCAGGAGTGGAAACAGACGGATCTAGAATGGCTGAAAGACACTTAAGGAAATGTTCAACATCCCTAGCCATCAGAGAAATGCAAACCAAAGCAACTCTGAGATTCCATCTTACACCTGTAAGAATAGTTACTATCAAAAACACTGATGACAACTTATGCTGGAGAGGATGTGGGGTAAAGGGAACACCCCTGCAATGCTGGTGGGAGTGCAAACTGGTACAACTGCTTTGGAAATCAGTATGGTGATTTCTCAGAAAATTAGGAAACAACCTACCTCAAGATCCAGCTATACCACTTTTGGGTATACACCCAAATGATGCTCAATCATACCAAAAGGACATGTGCTCAACTATGTTCATAGCAGCATTGGCTATTGGCAAGGTTATTGAAGTCATTGGAATGCCTTTTTTTTTTCAGGATTTGTGTGCAAGGAAAACAGGATCCATGTGAATGAATCGATGGGGTTGGAGAAGACAGAAATCCAAGAGGAAGGGCAAAATGGGGTGTGTAAGGGGCACAAAACCCTGAGTTTCAGCTGGTTCCTGACCTGCCATGGGATCTTGGGCAACTCCTTTAAGCACATGGAGATCTGTAAAGAGAAATAATGCCTGCAGAACTTATGGTGCTGCTGGCTCATGAGAAGAGCAACCCCGGGACTCATCCCAGCCATCCAGTGAATTGCCACCTCTGTCATGGGCCCCACGGTGAAGGAGAGCAACAGGGAAGGGTGTCTGCTTCTCCTTTTCTCACTGGGGCAATCTCAAACTTGAAACTTATAGACCAAGTTTTAGAGGTCCTAGAATTGACCAACCTTCCCACTGTCAGGTAGATAAGTGGACAGTCTGGTCTGTCGGTGGAGAGATAAGGGCCAAGACCGTTACTCTGAAATCAGGCCAGGAAATGGCCTCTCAGCTTCTTCTCTAATTATAGGTCCATTGGGAGAGCAGAGGAAGTCAAGGCATGCATAGCCCATCTTGCCCTCTAGATGATTTGTGTCTGCTTCTTTGGAGGTGTGGGCCAGTGTACACATAGCAAGTATGCACTATCCAATAGAACACCTCCAAACTGCATCAACCTCACTTTCAACAACACACAAACTCTTGGCAGGAAGATGTGGCAAAACCAGGTCTACACACTCACTTTTTTTTTTTTTTTTTGGTTTTTCGAGACAGGGTTTCTCTGTGGCTTTGGAGCCTGTCTTGGAACTAGCTCTGTAGACCAGGCTGGTCTCGAACTCACAGAGATCCGCCTGCCTGCCTCCCGAGTGCTGGGATTAAAGGCGTGCGCCACCATCGCCCGGCTTCACACTCACTCTTTTCTCTTTGGGCAACAGTGAATGAACTGGAGCTTGATTATTTAAATAAAATTAGTCATTGTGAAAATATTTGCACTTAATTTGATTTCAAAAGAGTTTGCATTAAAGTATTACTTATGCTTAATATTGAATTGTTAGTGTCTTCTTAAATTTGTGGTCTGAGATGAGCGTTTCATTGCTTGATCCTACTCCTAACCCTGTTAGTGCCAGAGGGCTGGTAGAAGGTAGACAGTGAGGGTGGGGAGGGCAATGTGGTCTCCATGTTGACCAGAAGACCTAACATGAGGGTTTTCATCCCAGTTCCTGCTTCTTTGCCAGTCCTGGAGCTGCGTTTAGAGGTTGGGATGAAATGATGTCGTCTAGGCCAGTGGTCTCTAAATGATCTAGAGGACATTAGGAAATAAAACGTGTGGAGATGGTTTTGATGGCTGCCTACTCGGTGTGTGTGTGTGTGTGTGTGTGTGTGTGTGTGTGACATCAGACATCTCAAGGATACAGACAAATAGTGCTATTAAACTTTAGATAATGCATAGGGCAGCCCCCACAACTAATACGTGGTCCTACATATTAAGAAAATGTTGAGAAGCTTGATGCAGGTCCATAATACAGAAGAAACCACATACATATTGAAGATGGAAACCACAAAGGTCCTGTTTTTTGAGGAGGGAAGGAGGGAGGAAAGAATGGAAGGGATGGAGAGAGGGAGAGGGAGAATGTGAGAATATTTAGTACTTAGAAATCCCTGCCCCTTGATTTCTTATGAGTCTTAGTTAGGGTTTTTATTGTTATGATGGAACACCATAATCCAAAGCAACTCAGAGAGGAAACCATACACTTCTATATAACTGTTCATCAGCAAAAGCAGTTAGGGCAGGAACTCAAACAGGACAGGAACCTGGAGGAAGGAGATGATACAGAGGCCACGGAGGGTGTTGCTTCCTGGCTTTCTCATCGTGGTTTGCTCAGCCTTCTTTCTTATAGAACCCAGGACCAGCAGCCCAGAGATGGCAGCACCCATAATAGGCTGGACCTTCTCCCATCAATCACTAAAAAAATGCTTGCCTGCAGCCTGATCTTACGAAGGCATTTGTTAGTTGACGGTCCCTCCTCTCAGATGATGTTTTTGCCAAGTTGACATAAAAAAAAGCCTTTCCTTCTCTGAAGCCTATTGCTTACATCTGTGAAGCAGGAAAATCCTACAGTCTCAGTGGAGATGGGTGAAGGCGAGGATCAGGGGTGTGCTGTCTATGAAGCACCTCGTGGGGATGTTGAGGCTTACCTCGTCCTCCTTCCCTCCACAGTTCCTAGCTGCTCCTTG